GTCGAGCTCGACTTTTTAAGGGTTCGAGCTCACACACCCTAAGCCTGAGCTCGGCTCGACTTGTTTACAACACTTATCTTAGATAGCACCACCAGCTTATTGTAAGTTATCTATATATAATTGTTAGAAAAAAATAATAATAAGGCTTACAATCGAATATATATATATATATATATATATATATATATATGATGTGGTTCAAATGAGAACCAAGTCCTAGCGTTAGAACCGTGAGAACCGCTATTTTTAATTGTATGTAGTGCTATGATTGATTGTGTTTTAGTGCTATTTTTAACTATGATGTATTTTATTAAAAATAGCAATAAAATTTTTATTAGCATTTGTGAAAATAATAGCACAATGCAATATTAAAATTAGCATCATACCAATTAAAAATAGCATCAAATATAGTTCTCACGGTTCTCACACCAAACATAGTTTTTATTTGAACCAATCCATATATGTATATATATATATATATATATATATATATATTATTATACAAGTTGTAACTGAAATCTAATCATTAACTTCTTTTAAAAATTATTACTAAAATTAACAACTATAATTTACACTTATGATACATGGAAGTTCAATAAGTATAAAAAATATACTGCAAAACATTTTTTGACATTAATAATAATAATTATATTTATTATTTAATACTTTTAAGATAATTAATAGGCTGCGATCTCTTAAATTTATATAGAATAAATTATTCATTTAATTTTATGCAATCAATATAGTGACAAAGTTGATTACTTTTTTTTCTAATGTCATGATTTTAAAACGTGATATTATTATCTAACTTATAATTTTAATATTGTATACATACATATAACTTATAATAATTTAAATATTGATGCATGTGTACAATATCGAATACTAACTTTGAATGATTTTCAAAGTTAGGTATCAAATTTTAAACGAGCTTATTCACCAAATCCTATTGTGTCATACTAAATTTGGGTGTTATCACTTTTTTTTTTTTTTTTTTTTT